CCATCACTTGGTTTGTAATGTATTTTTATATTTTGTACCTTGATGAGGAGTTTCCCTCGTGCAGAAGCATCCAGTTTCCTCCATGGTGAACCTATTTTAAAGGCAGCTTTGGCAGCTGCGACAGCCTTGTCGACATCAGCCTGCGACAAACCATAAAATGACGAGGAAGAGGTCAGCACAACTTAATGTAAACAATGTAAAACTAATAAGAGATAATGTAAAAAGAGAATTAAATGTAACTGTTCTTAATTCTTCACCAAACAAACACAGAACTCACAAGTCCACAATATGTCAAACTGTTACTTATTTCCCTCAGTATGGGGAAGGCTGTTACTACAACAGATCAACATGTTAATATGTTTGATTGTTGAATACAATGTCATTACGTGGTGAAAACTGGGAATACAGTGAATTCCGGTTAACTGGGACACATAGGGAGGAGAACACTTTGGCCTAGTAAAGCTGCTGCCCCAATTATGAGAAGTTTCACATAAAGATTTGAAAAGGTTTAAAACAAAATATGATTTATTGGGCAACAAAAATATTGGAAATGAATTCTGGAACAAATGGTACAGATCAGAGAAAAATATTTACGCTAAAAACAATTTCAACTTAATGTATGCATGTAGTTCCTAACAGTTAATGATGTTGGAGGAATTTATCGAGTGTACCCTGCCATTGATTGACTGCAACTGAACAAAATCAGAGCAGGTACTTAGTTCAGATATAGGGCTGCCTTTCTTGCCTTCCTGCATATAGTGGCGTCGTAATCCAGCAACAAATTTCCTGGCATCCTGATTAGTCACTTGCACAAGCTCAGGTGTGTCATCCTCATCACTCTCCTGTTCTTTTGATGTTTTGCTGCAATTTGTTCAACAATTGCGTCCTTACAATCTTAATTTTCATTGTAACATTGAAGACTATTGTCGATGCATGCAAACTCTTCGTAGTTTCTGACGTGTTGCACTTTAAAAATGGCGCCATTTTCACTATCGGTCGTATCTGGCATCTCCAAGCCTGAATGCTTAAAACCACTGGAGCAAAGCAGTTCTGAATGGTCTTACTGTTTATTGCTCGCAAGGAGAATCGCTACACTATCAGAACACCACGTTTTCGTTTCTGTGTGAATCAGCGATGACTCACTGACTACTCCACGCCTCGCGCCACAAGCGCACCATCTAGCACTTACTGTCCCAATTTAACGGCATGGTGTCCCAAATAAGCGAAGGAAATTCCGGTTATTTGCTCGATTTGTTATTGTTCTTTAAGGTTTGTCCCAAATAAACGGTTGTCCCGATTAACCAATGGCCCAATTAACCTGTATCTACCGCAGTTATTTTCTATAAAATTTCCAAAATTCAGTCAATCCTATAAATCAAGAACCAGGATTCTAAAGCTGTGTGAACCATTTACCTTGTCACCTTCAGCAATGTCAACAATCTTTTTTCCAGTGGCTGGATTCACAGTGGGGAAAGTTTTGCCTGAGACGGAATCCACAAACTCATTGTTAATGAATAGCTGAAAAAAGAGAAAAAAGAACAAATAGCTCAACAACAGAACCAAAGTGAAGAGATATACCACTCTGCACAGGACCAGAGATGATAATTCATGTATACACATGCCTATCAATACATTAAATATTGGCCCTAGGTTATAAAAATGCCACCTTCAATACCAGAGAAAAAACAAACTTTTAAGTAAATTAAAGAGCTTTATAGTTGCAAAACCTGACGTGACCATATTAGTAACATAGGCGTTTATGAGAGCTTGAAAATATCACAGTTCATGGTTACTGTCAAGTGATAAACCGGTATCTTAACTAATTTTTAAAATAATGTATAACTTATAAAACCATATGAAGTAATCCATTATTAGATGTAAGGGTCTAGAAAGACCTTGGCACCAGCAAACAAGAAAAACATTCAAGTCAAGGTCGACTTTGCTAATCTCATCATGACAATTGATATTTCTGAAGAGTCTTACATAACAGATCGCATTCAAACAGAACCATCTGAAACTAAGGAGAAAAATTACTAGGAAAGAAGAGCGCTGTAGGGGTATAGCTTACTCTTTGAAGAATTAGCTACGGGCTAGGTTCTACATAAAAAAACAGGTAGCTAATAAGCGTCAAAGATTTCATAAAGCATGGACGGGGATTTTTTCTTTGAGGGGGGGGGGGGGGGGGGGGGTAAGAAAGATCGAGGGCGAAAATGCTACTTTGTTTGAGGAAACTGCAGATGATGAGATTAAATGTCATGAATAGTTTAGAATGTCTCAGCATTCGTTTAATGTTCTATGTAAAATGGAATATGAAATCAGTATTCGTACTGTATGCAGTCAAGTACCTCAGTTAGAAAACAGAATTACGTCAGTCCGTGAATTACACTGCAGATATTTATTTATAAACATGCCAGCATCATTCAGGGCGGTGCGTGACCGTCCGTGTGTAGAAGTATCATCCTTGATAATTTTTACAGCACGGAATACACATCAAAATTATCCGGACAGCACGGACCCGGACACGAACAGGAAACGATTCGAAAATATGTATATGGGCGTTAATAAAGGTCTTACACATCACAGATCTCTGGTTGGATTCACATATAAAACATTAGATCTTGAGCACACGGCTAATCTTCAAATATTTCCTTATCGGGCTTGAATTCGACAAGCAATTGAATAACGCAGTTTGGTGGAGAACATGTTCTCGGTAATTCGTTTCACGGATAAATGAGATTCAGGGGTTGGTTAATGAATTAAGTGACCGAAGATATAACCAAAAAAGGGACTCCAAAATATCCAAATTAAGTTTCCGAAGGACATCTCAATTGTAACTTAAAATATAGACATGGCAAGACAAACGCAATAATGTAGAATAGCGATTTTAAAATCGTCTTCCGAGAACAAATTTATTACAAACGCTAAATCTTATGGGTTGTTTTAAAATAACAAATTCGAAAATTTATTCTGTCCCCAAGTAATTCAATCTTAAATTTCTGATCTGAAAGCGTGCAAAACAAGGGTTCTGTTTATATGTTTTAACAACGTTTGAAATCGAGAAAAATTATTTCATTTACATTACCAAACACTCAAATCATTAGACTTCTGAGTATCTGATCTACGATTTTCGTTAAGGAGACATTTTCTGGACGCAAATTCCTAGTCTCCATGAACAGAACATCAACATTTTTCATGGATTGTTCCTCCTATAAAACATTCTCACAACATAATGTAAAATTCAATGGATGCCTTCGACTTGATGTCCGACTTCTTGTCCCGTTTTACAAACGGATGCAACAGATTACTACATTTTCTAAATTGCTAACAAGGAGGGTGGATGGTATCTAAAAAGTAAAAGTCATCCTCACCTTGGTGTATTTGATTTCTGGGAGAGCCATCACGCACTATCTAACACTTCTCCACTGCTGAGAGCTACGAACTACTGCGGCTTGTCCTTGACGTTCCTATGTTATATGTGCAAACAGTGACATCTGTCGTAACAGATAAGGGAGTATGAGCGAATCATAGTAATATCAACACGCATTCCTTGATCTTTCTAGTCACTGCTTCAGCGTAATGCGCAAATATGTCGATTCGTTTGCACACAAGGTCATTCGAAAACACATTCAGCTCAGGAATGCTTCAGTAGTGAACACACCTGACAATGGATCATTCCCAACGCTTGATTTGGCAAATTGGCCGGTACGAAAGACAGAGTGTAGACAGAAGATAAGAATAATGGAGGAAAGTGAAAAGACAGTTGCTGATATTAGCAAGAGGAGAGATGATGGCAAAGTGTTTTCAGATCTTACAGAAAACTATCTTTAATTACCATGAGATACCGATACAAAAATACAGTATATTTTTGTTATTCTACCAGACTTTTGAATGTAATTAAAATATTTCTATTTCAAATGTATTCACTACACCTTTCATATGTGGTCCACACTTAACACTTGTATATTTGGTGTCACTGTATAAGAACAAAGAAGAAGAGTGTGTATAAAACAGTACTATATGAAAAAATAAAATGTAACATGATTTGTGTTCCCTCTGCTCCGTACCATCATAATTTTTGAATGTTAACCTGAGTTCTAGCTGAGTTGTTTGCGAGTATGAAAACAAAACAGGTCAAATGCAATTTTTGGTAAAGAAGAAATTGCTGAAGCGCTGTTGGATATTTCAGATGATGTAATGATAGTTCATAGTCTAGTAGTACAGTTACTATGGGAATGTGATAAGTAATTCTGAGTCTGAATAATTTTAATCAGACAACGAGTATGACTTAGATCATGTTCCTGATATCAGAATCTGCTTGGAGGAATGTAGACTACGCACCAACAGGTGAGCCATTTGTTGGACAAATTTGAGTAAATAGTGCTAAAAGTAGTCAGATGTGACAAAAGTTGAAATGAAGTTTTTAGGGTAATGGTATTGATGGGTGAAGTTCAGAAAGACAGTATCAAAGAATAATGGTTGACCAATTCAACCATAGCCACATCTGTACTTTTACAGACTGTAAGTAGGAATTGCCCTGAAGCCATACAGAAAGCTTGACACTTCAGGAGTAACTCAAAGCTTGCCTGTTTTTGTGTATTTGTCACAGGTTATATTCCATTTGACCAACAGTCGCCAGTAACAATTCAGTTTGTAAGATTTGGGGTTTTCACAGTGATGAGTATGAAGATTTCTGTCTTCTGGGTTGTTGCTCTGTGTAGTCTGGTCGATGTTTACCAAAGTTTCAGAGGTCGCCCTCATGACGGAGGCAGTATGACCTCTGAAGCGTTGGTAAACATCGACCAGACTACACAGAGCAACAACCCAGAAGACAGAAATCTTCATACTCATCACTGTGAAAACCCCAAATCTTACAAACTGAATTGTTACTGGCGACTGTTGGTCAAATGGAATATAACCTGTGACAAATACACAAAAACAGGCAAGCTTTGAGTTACTCCTGAAGTGTCAAGCTTTCTGTATGGCTTCAGGGCAATTCCTACTTACAGTCTGTAAAAGTACAGATGTGGCTATGGTTGAATTGGTCAACCATTATTCTTTGATACTGTCTTTCTGAACTTCACCCATCAATACCATTACCCTAAAAACTTCATTTCAACTTTTGTCACATCTGACTACTTTTAGCACTATTTACTCAAATTTGTCCAACAAATGGCTCACCTGTTGGTGCGTAGTCTACATTCCTCCAAGCAGATTCTGATATCAGGAACATGATCTAAGTCATACTCGTTGTCTGATTAAAATTATTCAGACTCAGAATTACTTATCACATTCCCATAGTAACTGTACTACTAGACTATGAACTATCATTACATCATCTGAAATATCCAACAGCGCTTCAGCAATTTCTTCTTTACCAAAAATTGCATTTGACCTGTTTTGTTTTCATACTCGCAAACAACTCAGCTAGAACTCAGGTTAACATTCAAAAATTATGATGGTACGGAGCAGAGGGAACACAAATCATGTTACATTTTATTTTTTCATATAGTACTGTTTTATACACACTCTTCTTCTTTGTTCTTATACAGTGACACCAAATATACAAGTGTTAAGTGTGGACCACATATGAAAGGTGTAGTGAATACATTTGAAATAGAAATATTTTAATTACATTCAAAAGTCTGGTAGAATAACAAAAATATACTGTATTTTTGTATCGGTATCTCATGGTAATTAAAGATAGTTTTCTGTAAGATCTGAAAACACTTTGCCATCATCTCTCCTCTTGCTAATATCAGCAACTGTCTTTTCACTTTCCTCCATTATTCTTATCTTCTGTCTACACTCTGTCTTTCGTACCGGCCAAATCACCATAAATAACAGCAGAAGGCTATAACAAGCACACTGCGACACCTGGATAAGCTTGTTCCCTTCAAGTGGCCATCACAGTCAAGACAGCAGAGAATAGAAGAGGGCATTTACATAAACCACAAAGATATGTTCATAGCCAACTCAGAATTCCAAGAAATAGAAAGGCTTCTTAGACCCAGCTGTCATGTTTTCAGGAAATAAAACTCAACACATAATATAAAATAAAAATTGTATCTGTTCTTTACTTAAGACACTTTATACATGATTGGAAATAAACATCTGTATCTCTTCAAAAGTTAAGACAGACACTATGAAATGCCAAAAGCATGATCTTAGAAAATAAAACCAAATGATTAACATTTACAAAAAATCTTCAGAGTTCCCCCAACACTATAAATTGTTGATGATTTCCAGGCTTAAAAACATCTTAAGACTTTATATTTAGTGGACAACAATTGATCACCAGTTTCAATTCATCAATGATCACCGAGACACCAACAGTTCATGGCACTGTTTAAGCATCTACCTTCACGAACAAAAATACTGGACCAGGTATAATTTATTCATAATGGAAGCATATACATACACACACACACACGATGATCAATCAACTTTTAAAACCGCCATCACTTAAACGAAACTTCTGTAGTCAATGTGTAGTGTTACTCCTTATTAACCTACTGGTTCTGCATAAAATAATAAAGTGTTCCTTGCTGGTCCCTTAAGCATCCCATCCACATACGAGTCTGGTTTGCGAGTCCGGCTCGGCTTGGGTTCCATTGAGCCAGACTCGTTTGTGGGTGGGGTGTCACGAGCCGAGTCTGCCATGCATGTGTGGCAAAATATGTCCGAGCCTGGCTCACGAGTCAAGCTCACTGAGCCAGACTCGTACGTGGATGGGCCGCTTTAGTGTGAACATCTTCAACTGCAAGCATGGTTTCAAAATGAATCACAAAGCATAAAAAAATGTTATGAACCCTGGTCTGAAGACGCAACCTGCCTTGCCAGCATCAGGTCCAATGTCTCAACAGCTTCATGTTCATCAAGAGCCTCCAGGAAGCTGCGTATGTCTTGGATGCTTACATTGCCACGTACCTAGAACAAAAGAAAAACACGTATAACGTATCAATGTCTAAAGGTTTCCAATGACAACGTAAAAATATTCTTTTCGACTTTGCTCATCATCTTAAATTATAAATAAGAACATTTTTGGTAGCCAGATTCTGCTTCAGTCTTCATATAAAAAAAGGGAGATAAGAGAACAGACAGGCTTTTTGCCCTCTTATTCCCCCATTTTTACCAGAATACAGAAGCAGAATCAATCTTCCAAAACACTGGACAAAGTCCAAAAGAACAATTTTACATGATTTTGTCTCTGGTAAGACTGCATAATATAGCTGAGGATGATGCAAGTACTGAAAGTGGTCACCAACTTTCCCCATTGCTTGCATTTAAATGCTGGAGGGGTATGATGGGGTCCGCAGTGGCCGCACGGCCCGAGGCATGGGCCTTGTGCTGCTTGGTCGCTGGGACCGTGGGTTCGAATCCCACTCAAGCCATGGATGTTTGTCCGCGTTTTTCTGTGTTGTGCTGTCCTGTGTACAGGTAGAGGCCTTGCGACGGGCCGATCCCTCATCCACGGAGTCCTACCGAATGTCTATAGATCGAGCCAACGAAAAGTTGGGACCCGCAGTGCTCAGGCAGTTGAAGAACGAGTCGTTCCCAGTATCCCAGGGGTATGATTTCAATTGTTCTTACATCATAAACAAGAATGCATGAAACGCTGTAATGTGACCAAATGTAGCTTCAAAAAATGTTAGCAACTGTACTAACACAAATTTAAAGCTCAAGTAATAACGAATGAACATTAAGTCAATGCTTTTCTGAATAATTAATTTTTTAAAAAAATCTATACAGATAATTATTACATTATCTTCTTTTCTCCTACTTTTTAGTACCCAGTTTATGATGCATTCAAGTTGCATAAATTAAAAATGAAATACTGACGATTACTGATGTAGACAGATTCCCATCTGTATGCGTTCTCAGGAATTCAACAAGTCTATGTCATGTGACAAAATATAAATGACATGAAGATTCCTGTCTTCTGGGTTGTTGCGCTGTGTAGTCTGGTTGATGTTAGACAACGTTTCAGGGCCCTTCATACTCACTGCTGTGAAAACCTCAAATCCTACTATGTGTAGGATTTGACTTCCTGACCCTCACAGCTGTGCATTATGAGTCTGAAAGAGATGTGGAATGCCAATGAAGCCAATGCCATTAAGGCAGTAATCTTCCACATCGAACTACCCGAATAAGTTGTGAATATGCATACTTCTTCTTCTCTTCTTCTATGGCACTCCGATCCGTATTCGGTCCATGGCCTCCTCAATTCTCCTCTTCCATTCGGTCCTCTGTTAGGTCTGTCTGTCCGAGGCTTTGATTGAGGTTTCGAAACACCTACGGTGCAAGGTTGTTAGCCTTACGACCAATCCCCAACCTGGAGCACCATATGCATACTTACATCTGCATAATTAAACAGCATCTTGCTGGGACTAGCAGAATCTTTGATGCTTGCAATCAGAAAGCCATAGTCCAGCAGCTCAGCCAGATTCAACCACCCTTGGGATTTGTCCAGAAGATCACATAACAGTGTCAATGTGTCTGGATCAAACAGGCCATTTTTAACTAAAACACAAGATTCAAGAAATTATATGTAAGAGAACAATTCTTCAGGGTTTTACAGTCATTACAGGTGCAATCAACAGATGGAGTCATAACTCTATACTTATATGGCTGATCATCTGAAAAGACTTTGTTGCATCAGGTAAGTTAAACTACTGAATAAAGCTGATTTTACCTTCTTCGTGCACTCCCTCTAATATGGGGCTCTCTAAGGGCTCTTCCTTCACTTCAACTATGTCCTCAAAATTCTCCTGCTTCATGGTCTGCAGCAATTCCAGTATCTGCAGCAGACATCACAAGCCACGTGCAATGACACAAACTTATTTATTTTTATGTATTCTTTGCACTAACTGCATATAATAAGCATATAACAGAGAACAGAAGTCAAGTATCCACATTTTCAAAACTACCCAACAGATTCAGGCGACATACGATACGTGGTAGTTGCTTCGGCAGGTGAGTTGTTACACACTCGTTAGCGGATTCCGACTTCCATGGCCACCGTCCGTCAATAATTTGGGAAGGATATTCTTTGATTTGAATAAAATTTTATTCATCTCAACAAATTTGTGCACAAAAGATATCTCAAAGATGGAGTCATACAGGCAGCCAGAGGTGCAACATGTACAAGTAAGTTATAGACATATATTTGATTTTAGTAATCCTCTAGACTGCAACTACAGGAAAGATGACAGGATCAAATAACTTACAGCATTATTAAACTTACATCTTTCTTGTTTGAGGCCAAATCAAGTGATGTTTGACCATGTGCCTTACTATGAATTTCTTCATCCTCAGTATCATCATCTGCAATTTTTAGCTCACAATCATCATCACTCTCCGGCTCTTCTTTTATTATCATTTCAGAATATAGTTCCACTTCTCCATCATGTTCCACCATATAATTCTCCAACCGAGGGTCTGCCTACAAAATAAGAAACATTATTTTTACAGTCAGTTCATGGATAATCAAGCCTGACTCATAGCCATCATCACAATGGTCTTCCTATGTTTTGACGAAGTTTTAGTTTGTACTGAAAGGAAAGTTTTTGGAGTATGGTATTTCCCCTTTTGTTAAGGTGTCTTTAACCATCCTTCCCTGTGAACTTACAGTATTTAAATTTTGAATAACTATGGAAGTGCTTGAAAAATTGGGCCAAATTATCTGCAACAGCTCAGTGAGCAAAATATTTGCAACAGCAGTCTCAAGGGAAAAACTGATTAGACACAATTATGTAATTGCGGACTGATGGTCTACTAATATACCTAATGCCTATCGCTTGATAAACATGATTGGATACTAAACCAATATGTGACTGCTAGATAAATAAGAAATATTAATACAGCAAATCTTTAAGTGTTTTTTGTGTACTGCTAAACTATAATCACGTTATATTTTTATGGTTTCATTAACGACGTTGCCGAAAGCTCAGGTAATGCAGCTTTGATTGAAAAGATGATTAATGAATACTGACTTGAAAAGGATGTAAAAGGAAGTGGTCATGACATAATTTAATGTACTGTCCAGACATTTACCGGAATGGACCATGAAAAACCACAAAAAAAGTCAGTCAGGATAAAAAGTCTCTGGGCTGAAATTTTAATCCAGGCGTCTCAAATATGAAGCAGCAGTGCTAACCATTCAGCTGCGATGTTTGACGTTATCAACGAGCTCAAACAAATACACAAAGATGTGGCAGAGTTTATTGAAAAGTGACATATTACAGGGCACAAGCATGTGCTTTGTGTAAGCAAGGCTACACTGTGCTACACCTTTAAAATTCACAAGGCTGACGAGAACAGCATCATTTTATACAACAGCAGTCCTATGACAATCTTACTGCCATAATGATCTGAGTTACTTTAATTAGGAAACCATGAGTTTTACCTTGTATTTAAGCAGGAGTGTGCAGAGTTTAGAAGATTCATTTCCCTCATACACAACAGCCCCATGCAGAGCAGTATTTCCAGCATAGTTTGCAGCATTCACATCTATTTTGGTCTGCAAGTAACAGTAACATAATAAACTCACTACAAGAAATGCACCAATTGATACAGGAATGGCTGTAAGTTGCAAAATGGATGGTTTGTAAAGCATAATACAAAATTAATCTTCAGTGAAAGAAACTAAAAAAAGATATATGTAATGATGATGGTACATATGCAGCGTCTTGTGAATGAGGAGTGGGCAAGAAATTTCTGCAAGCAGGAGGAGAGAGGGATGCCACGTGACATGCCATAACTTTATGGATATGTATTACACAATAAATAATAACTTTTTTTTACATCTTCTGGTATTGTCCATGGCACAAGTTCATTCACCATCATGGAACATCTCATTGTGAGTGTGATGAGTTTAACAAGGTAGAAGTGTACAATGGTATGATGAAATAGTACCACTGACTAAGTTCCTAACAGGTTCTGTGTCTGATGCAAAACGAGGTGGAAGACCCGAAATAAGAGAATGAGTACATCAGTACTTATTTGGAGAAATCAGTTCTTCAGTCACCCTAAAAATCAATACAGAAATGATCTACACGATTCGAGATTCCAAGAACCTTTATGTGACATTTGATAAGGGAGAAAGGCTAACATGAATATTGGCTCCCATAACAAATAAAGTGGCCATGAGATGGACATGTGCAACTTTCTGGCAAACCTTCCCAACATAACATTAAATTCACTGGTCAATGTGAAAAGTCTCAAAATGTTTATATCTGGGCTAAACAAAATCCACTGTTTTTTAAATAAGCAGCACAGCATCATCTCATGGTATAATATAGGCTGCAGTCATCAGTGAACACCCATAAACAATGATGACGACCTATGGGAAAGTGTGCAGAATGCATGCCAGATGATTCAAGGAAACCCTGGTGTGTACGAACGAATTCATCAGTCTTGTGTACGTTGTGCATGTGTGGAGAATGAAGGAAGAACCTTTAAGCATCTGTTATAAAGAAACATCCCTGTCCTTATATTTGGCAATAAAGGCATACATTAAAAATTATTTTTGGCTATTATTTCAAAAATGAAACATTTGCGACCCCATGTTCATAGGAACACTTTTTCTTATTTTTGAACCTGGAACACGAAGTTTGTAAACATACTTCTGACTCAACCTGTATAGTCAGCATGCCTCTCACCTGCTGAAGGAGATACTCAGTGATTTCAACACTGCCCTCTTCTACAGCAACATGAAGCACTGTGCGGCCCAGCGATTTATCCTTCTTATTCACATCTGCTCCAGCATCCACAAGCTTCATGACTGCAACTAGATTCTTCTCTCGGGCAGCTATGTGCAGAGGTGTACAGCCTGATAAAAGTAAATGGCAACTGTTACTTGTGGACCCACATTCAAGATTTGCCATTATATTTATAATACTTCATTATTTTATAATGATACAGGCTTATGGCATAACTAAAGGAAAGTATGGATCAATGTTGTTCTATAAAAAATTAGAAATAAAAGAATTTTTGTTTTGATTTGTGGGGAACAGATAAGATTTGGGATGATATTTTTGAAGTTCTACCCACTCTGAAAGGATTCCCAGAAATTATAAATCAACCCAGACATAAGACAGGGTATGATAGGAGTGTGATGCATCACAAAAAGTACAGAAAACTGTAAATATGGAATATGAA